TTAAAGTGTAAAATAAATATCGTACAAAATGCTTTCAGCTTCATGTTTCCGTTTTGCCTAGAAATATCGTCTTCTGTGTTTAGCATTAATGGCATATTCAATAGTATTTATCGTTCCACGTTGCGCATCGTCGAGCGCAAATAATCGATTCATTGTTATCGAATTTAACATCTAGATGTCATCGATGTTACGTACGAGTTGCGTCTGAAACTTGCGATCGAGACGTCTTCTTGGTCGATTTTTTGTTGAAGTGTTTTTTAGATAGGATTTATTGATATTATAGTTGAGGTATATTTTTAAATATTTCTAGCCTACTTGGAAGTGTTGGAACTAATTTCTTATGTAACATACTCTTTCATTGTTTCGCTAACCGTTTCAAAAGTACCACCATACTTAATAACACACCTTAGCTTATTTGCATCACCATTATAAATTCTTACATTTGGTTAATCTGTTATTCTCGTTGCTGTTTTGTAACTTGCTAATTAACATAATTTGTAATTGTTGAACGATATTATGAATTCTCGATGATTTCTAAAATTTTAGCGACTCATTTACTTTTTGAAAATATAGTGATTGATATTTTTAATGAAAAAAATCCACTTTGTTTCTGACACTCTGAGATGGGAGTCTAACCCATGATCTTTCGTAATCCAGGTGTCTGCTCTAACCACTAAGGACCTAACAGACTGGCGAATTTTTCAAGCACTATTACAGAGCATATTTGCATCCAATATTCAGGTTTCCATAAATATGAAAATTTGTTCTAATTATTCAGTGGTTAGACCTTTCGTAATTCTCTAACCGTTAGAGAATTACGAAAGGTCATGAGTTTGGTCCCATCTCAGTGCCAGGGACAAAGTGCATTTTTAAGCATTTGTCATTAGGAAAAATTTTCAGTGTAACATTGTGAATGAAAAATTGATCAATAATAATATAGTGATTGAAATAGAATTTAATTAATTGTGGAGTTGATGTAATAATTGGCGTTGTATGGATTATTAATGATTTTATAATGTGTAGTATTAAAATCTTATTTAACGACTAATAATTTATCTCATTTATATCTAAAAAATTGTGATCTTCCTAGCACTTTCGTTGCCACGTATGATTATTAGTGATTAGACTATAATTATTAGATTAATTTTATAATCATATGAAAGTCTCTTTATTTATTAAATTACAAAATAAAATACTTACCTACGAGAATAAGAAACACTGCTGTAACATTTTATATCAATAAATGTAAAGGAATTTTCTAATTAACGAAATAAAATGAAATGTGAATATCTTTTTTCAAGTAAGCTTTGAATCTTCCAAAAAAAATTTTTCCTACTACTTGTTCAGGATGTCTTTTAGCTGACAAGAAGAACAAGTGAAAGAAACTTACCAGCTCTTTATCATAAGTACTGAAATGACATTTACATAAATCATGTCATACCAAAATAGTATGTATTATCACAATAATAAATACAACTTTTAAAGTCTGTAGGACATACATATGTTTGTACATATAAACAGTCGTTATAGGTTATTAATATTAATTCCATGCATTGCGGTCCTTAAAATAATTATCAACTTTACTCATAAGTATGTACATTAATTTTACATTTATTTGTGGATAGGTCAATTACATTTTGTGGAACTTTATTGAACATAGCAATGCATTTACCCAGATAATATATTTTTAGATATTTTTCACATAGTTTTTTTGGTAGGTGAATTTTATTTTACGGCTTTAAGTCATACTTCGGTTAGTAGTCATAGTTATTTAGTCGGCTTTATACTTCACTGCAATATTCTGATCAAATTCTGATACATACTGTGGCTGTATTGCTTAATTAACAATCATGTCAAAATTGGCAGATTTCCAACCTAAATTATAACGCGAACGTTACTTTGAAGAACTAAAACGTAAATGGAAATTTGCTCGGAAGTTTTCAATTCATCAAGCATAATTTGCTTTTTTAGCCAAGGCGATATAAGATCTATTGTCATACAACAAATAATAAAGTATCTCTTAAATTGCAAGTCACTTAATTAGAAAAAAAGATATTACCATTATGATCCGCTATTTGGTGAATAATCAAAAGAGGATTTCGTGTGTAACCTTGTGTTATCTAAATCGGTGAATCTCTATGGAATTAAACCTTGAATCTTCTGTGAGCAGGTTAAACTTTAAAAGTATGTTTATGCAATTTCAGATAAGTTTTGGATTTTATACTTTTGTAATATTCACGCGTACCAAAGCTATTTATTTACGTAGCTGAGGCAGACTCCTGATTGGCCACCACCTTGTAATAAATTAAGTTGTTATAAAACCATTACTGTCTACCTATGTGGTCAATAAATATATTTTCTTTCTTTCTATTACATAATATTACGGTGTATGGTCGCTACATCTATGGCTATTATATCGACACGAAAAAGAATTTTCTGTTTATTTTTTACTGACTTAAAAAGGTTAACCTGCCCTGTCTTTCCCTTCGCAACCCGGTCCTGATTTCTCTTTATCTTGATGTAGACTTATTATAAGCCAGCTCTACTGTAATCAACGATTGGTGATGTCCAATGACATGTTTGATTTCTAACATTTTTTATTGCATTTAATGATTGAATGGCAATATAGTGTCAAGAGTTTTTATGTTCCATTACATCATCTGCTCGTATTTTCTTTCATTCAAACTCTTTAATTCCTATTCTGGGAGAACCGTAAGAATACAGTAGTAAATGATCTAAGCAATTCACGTGGCATTACAATATTTAAGAAGTTTTAAAGTTATTTATAATCATAGGTATGTTTCTAGATAATCGATTATACCATAAAAATATTGATAGTGTCGATCCTGACGGAATTCAGTACATTATCTATTTGCAATCCGCTTACCGTATTAACGTTACAGGATTAACCGCTGTACTACGTAGACCTACGTAAGAGATAAGGTGGGTTTGGGACTTAACGTTTTGTTATGATTTTTGTTGACTATAAAAATAAATACTTCAAAATACTGGAATAAAGTGAATAATTTAATAAGGTATATTTAATTTTGGCACTGAACTGCTTGGTACTGGCAGTAATATGGAATTGATAAGATATAAAATATGTGAAATTAAAAATTGTTTTGAATTATAATTAGTAACAATTCTTTGTTAAAAATAGTTCGACTAAGAAATGTGTTGCTATGCCCTAACCATTTAGTGGAACCAAAAAATACAAAAGCGGCAACATAAAAGCACTTTCCGTTATTTTTAAGTTAAAGTCGAGATTTTGAACAATATAGCTTCTGTCTTATCTTTGAACAGTTTGAAATCGTCACACTTGGTCAATCAACTGAGCCACCTTGACATTTTATTGCCGCTGACTCTGTGGTATTTATTTTTAATACATTTTTTTATGTCTCTATTTTACTTCTCATCCTTATCAACATTGGCATAACATTCTCACGGACATCAAATCTAAACTTACTTCAGTGACAGTGACAGATCTATTAGAGTTAAAACTGAATGCATCTATAAACTTGCTTTGTTATTATGGTGTTATGGTAATTGGAAACGCTCTAAGTATCATTAGTCGGGCCCAGGATATAATAAGAGGATAGATATATTCAAATACATGATACTATTTTGTTGTCCAGATATAATCATGGTTTCATATAGGGTAAGTTACACAAACGTCCAATAAGGTTTATTGACGCCTTTAAGCTCTAATGAATGTCAAATTAGTATCGGTAATGTCGCTTTAAACTAATGACAATTTTAATGATAGTTTGTGCAACTTGTTGTAAATCTTAAATATATTTTGACAATTGTCAATTAATTACTTAATTAATACATTATGTATAGTCAGTAATTAGATAATTTTAACATTGAGTAATAAAAAGACACCAGTAGATGGGATCATTAGTATAAAACGATTAAAGTGTTAACTATTGATATCCATTTATCAAAATCGCTCACTGAATAGTACAGTGGCACAATTCAAAAACCATAATTTCGAGAAAACAATCTCCGAAGTTTATGAAAATCATAATGTTTAATTATGAAAATCAAATTGTTTAGCATAACAGTTAAATCGTTTGTATTATATTATTACTGTTAAGTTTTTTTTTTTCTTTAAATTATCTATGGGATCCCACCACAGTATTGTGGCGTTTTCTCGAAATTATGGTTTTTGAGTTGTGCCACTGTACTATTCAGTGAGCGAAATAAGGTCACATGTTTAGAGAAGAGAATCTTTAGTGGAACTTAATCATGTTGACGATTAATTCGTCAATGTAAACAAAGAATTTCTTTAATCTTATCTTATTGGATTACAAATTGTATGTTTTCGTGTTGTGAATTCTTTATTATACTGAAATAATAAAACGACACTGCCTCTTAGTATTATAATAAAAAAATAACGAATTAAATCATATGATAATTAGAAACATCTATTTGACAAAAAGCAGTATCCATATTCATGTCTTGTCAATTAATTTTAATTAGTGGGCTGGTTTTTTTATGTCGAGTAAATGAACTTGTGTATCTTCTAGATCTGTTGATTTGTTATTTTGATGTAGTATAAAATGTTTATTGTAATTTTGGTTTCAATTTCAATATCACATATGGTATTGAAATTACATTGATATTGAAACTCATTATTATTAAATATTATAACTGCCGTTTTAGCTGTCGGTTTCTATAATAAGTAAACACTGAATACCATACGAGCTATATAAAATGTATGAGAACAAAAAATAATCTGATAGGTTATGGTACAAACACAACTTAACACTTTGACCTTTCTGCCTTATGTTTGGCATGGTAAAAAGTTTTGACGTGGTTAAAGTGAAAGTGACGTAATCAATTAATTATGTAGTCACCTTTATGAGAACATTTCGGTTCATTTATAAAATTTTAATTAAAAAAAAAAAGAAGTTATAACGAACTCGACCTGTTCAATTCGCACTACCGATGTTGTTTTGTCAATTATCATAATGATATGTTTATCTCTTTCTCAGGTAACGTGACGAGTGAGACGGCTACACCCTGTCACAGACCGAAATGCAGAAAACGAACGACCGTCGTTGGTAAAACGTGTTTCTTCCGCTGTGATCTCAAAATTCCCTTACAAATATTACTTATGATCAAAAAAATATATAATTAAGTGCTACTTTAAGTGATAACATAGTGTTTATTCTCGCATTCCGTTCAATAAGTGCTCAAAGTAATTTGCAATCGCTGTGCTCAAATAAAAACAGTTCCTCCGCAATGGCTAGTGACATGCAATGTTCAAAATACGTCCCTGCAGTGAATTGAGTGTTTTTTATTAGTGGATAACACAATAATAATTGTTTTATTTTAATAATTGGTTGTTTGTTGTTATGATGTGCAAAGTGAATTGATTTGTTACGGACATAGTAGCGTACAACGCCATCTGTTGTTGGGTGGCGGCAATGCGTAGCAGATGATGGAAGCCGGCTTCATTCCGGCTGGCACGGCGGGCAATGCTGCGAATATGCCGCCGCCCGCCGTTGTGGCGCCACCGGCGAACGTTATTCGCGCGCCGGGATTGAAACGCGGCAAAATGGAGGAGGCTATTTCTGATCGGGTGAGTTCCTTATTTTTTAAAGAAGATATATAGGTACATTTTTGCCAACCCCAACAAACTTAAAAAACGACAACTCACCAAGAACAAAACAGTAGGTTAAGTAAAAGAGGCTTATTTCATACTGTATTCATCTTAATAAGTAATCTTAAACCTTTATTAGTGCTCAGGACTTACATACATTGTTATATTATAATGTGGTCACGTAATAAAAGTGAGATGAAATAAATAACTAATAAATTAGATATTTATTTTTACTTTCATCCTTAATTGCCTCATCTTCTGTATTTATGACATTTTCCTTTTTAAAATCATACATCATTTTATTGAATATCTTTATGTGCCTTTATGTGGCTTTAAATTAGTCACATCATTTTATTGAATATCTTTATGTGGCTTTAAATTAGTAGCGATCGGTTATTTCGCATTATATTTTCATAGGTGGCGCTGAACGCTAATTGAAAAGCAGTAAAAATTAGGAATGAAAAAGAAAACGAGCATCAATGTGAAAACAGCAAATCTACTGTAACTCTACTTTAACTGTCTAGGGTTACCAACCCTACTCTTTTAACAGTAGATTTGATTTACACAGTCTGATTGAACACTGTCTAGGAAGGACACATGAATATATACATTTATAATAATAAAACAATGTTTGTCAGATCATATTATTCCTACTGCTATTGTTGTCGCTGATAATAAGGGTTACCATATCTCAGGATTTTAGGACGCTTCTCTGGATTGCGATCGGATTTTTCAAATCACAAGAAATCTCAGGATTTCTAATAAAACATAGTAGGTACGTTTTAAAGACCTCTTTAATAAAAAGTTATACAAACTAAAATTAATCCTAACTTTGCGATGTCCAACGAGTGAGCAAGATCCCCTGAGATTTCAGGGCAAATCTCAGGGGATTTAAAATTGTTAAGGTTGAAAGAAAAATCTCAAACTGCAATAAACTCTCAGAGGTTTTCATTGGAAATCAGGACTCTTCTCCCGATTTTTTTTTTCATGCTGTTACCATAACTGTGAATTATGTTACTTTAGAAGCTTAGAAACAATCTATCTATCTTAAAACTGGGTCAAATAAAGAGCTTTATTACATTTCAGCTGTCATTTTTGCATAAAATGGCCATTTTTGGCGTTCTTGATATCTAAATCAAAAATATATTAACAATTTTGACTTACGGAAAGTGCAGAATAATCGTTGGCATAGTTCGCAGCGGCTATCAGCCAGTTGCACAAATGTCCATTAAAGTTTTCATTAGTTTGAAGTGCGTTACCCATACAATTTCGACATTCATTAGAGCTTGAAGGCGTCATTAAACCTTAATGAACGTTTGTGCAAGTGACCGTTTGCCTTTTGTAAATTGTGCTTGACTTTTTAAGTAAATCCAAAATTGTAAATAAAGAAGTAACAGTTTAAAAATAAAATAAAAATTCTTTTCCGTGATAAAACTGCACAATTTGTTTCTATGAAATGTTTCAAGTCAAACCTTGAATTTCTCAAGTTTTCGACGTCGTCGTAGAAGAGCACTTCAATGCGCTCTTTGATGACGCTAAGAAAATGTGGAAAATCTTTTTACACATTAATGGTAACAAAAATATGATTAACTTGTATAACTGTGTCAAAAAGAGGATGCCTGTACCTACTAGGTTTTTTATTAAATATAAATATTAGAAGTCGTAATCTATACAACTGTGCACCTATAATTACCGTTGATAATTAGCGAAAGTCGTATTTGCTTAGTCATAAAGATATAAAAACATAATTTTCAATTAAAATAAAACAAATAAAATAATTTTGAAAATAGAAATGGATGTCGCGATGTATTTTGATTTGAAATATTTGTTGTGTACAAACAATGTTTTATCAATTATTATTTGCTATAGCTAGTAACCTATTCCGATTTTCTTTCTTATGTATCAACGCTAAGTTTAAGTTCGATAATTAATAATACACTCTCGAGTTTCTTTCAATATCAATTTTCCAAAATAAATTATAGTTTTATGAAATGTAAAGTTTTTAGTAAACGAGTAAAGAAACGGAACTTACCGGTCGTTGATTTTGATGTTATCGTTTCGTGTCTTAGAACAGAGTATTTTCAGAAATGTGTCGATAGAGTACCGCCACTAATATGACTTCACCACACTTGGGTGTTAACGACTGCAGATGCAGCTGTGACCTACAACTTAACATGTCTTCCGAAGCACGGAGGAGTTCGAGATAATATTTTTTTGGTCACCATCTTATGACAGGCAATTGTGAGAGATACTCAACGACCGAACCCGCCAACCACTGCGCCATCGAGCTCATCGAGCCATCAAGTTAACCTATTTATTAATTGTCAAATATTCTCAATGAAAAATCCTTAAAAATTCACTTTGTCACTGGTAATCCCATCTCAGAGTACCAGACAGAAAGAGGGGAAGTGGGAGGGTTCCTGAACTACGAAAAGCATTTCAATTCCAAAATCAGCGAAATCGACCCAGCCATTCTCGAGAATAAGCGCGACAATCGAACAGCAATTGATTTTTATATTATTCTACATTAATTGAGTAGTCTAAAAATTCTTGCTTTGTGGGAACCACAAATTGTCGTGATATGTTTCGATCACGTATTATTTTGACTATATTCGGCATTACGGCTCAATAATCAAATATATCTAAATCATATTATATAATATTAATTATAGTCTGACAAAAAAGGAAGGAAGCTGTCATTATGGACCCTGTCTATATAAATAATTGTAATTGAATAAAAATCACCCCCACAATAATCTCTTACGTAATACATATTAAATGGCAAACGGTTGATGAAGGTAGACTGTGTTTCTTGTCGCTTCCATATCAGCTTGCATTCTTAGTGAAGTTTGTTTGCACGACAAATGCGAGTTGTGTCACTTACCTAAGCCTCGAACTGTACTCGATTCTGAGAAAATGCAACGGTGTCAGTATTTAACTGTTGAGCCGCCAGTTAAACGACTCGTAATGCGACTTAACAATTTAAAGAATCTCAGTCGGTTGAGTTTTCTTTGATTTATCAGTTACGCATTTTATTCGGCTTGAAGGACTGATGTTCATTTTTTATGCTAACAAGCTTTCCGCCAGCGGCTTCGCCCGCGTGGTCCTATACTAAACGTGTAAATCTTCCTTTTAAATCACCATACCTATCTATATTAATTAAAACCGCATTAAAATCCGTTGTGTAGTTTGAAAGATCGCATCGTACAGGCAGCGGAAAGTAACTTTGTCGTGTTAAAAGAGAACCAAGAGATGCAGCTACATCTTCTAGTAATGTTCCATTTCCTGAGCGAGACGGGAATAGGTGATTGACCGCGAGACAGTCTTTGCTCATATCGTAGTAGGGGAGACCGGGGATGGTTGACTTATTTTTTACTAAATCATACATATTTTTTGTGTTTTCATACATACAGACAATAAAACGGCATCATTGGATAGAAGAACTATTAGACTAATAAAATAATATAACAACTAGTTCATTATTCAATATAAGGATCATGATTTAATGCATTTTACAGAACACCAACTCTTAGTCAATTTACCCCGGGTCCGGGGTAGATTGACTATATACCCGGGGTAAGTAGACTTAGGTATCAATAAGCGACAAATTATGAGAAGAGTCAAATAATAAAACCTTTTTTAAAACGTAATTAAGCTTTTATTTAAAAACAATATTAATCAGGTACAGACATATCTTATAAATCTTTAACAAAGCTATCAACTTTCAGTTTTTATTTAGACATTTATTAGTTTTATTAATAAAACAGTTTTTAAATTAACTTTTCTTACACTAGAAATTAAATGCACATTTTCTATTGCTTTATTGAAACAACAGTGTTGCTTAATATCAATTATTAGTATTTAAACTTAATTATCTTTGTACTTATTTTATCATTAAACTTAATTTAAACTAAACTCTTAATCAGTCTCATATTAATCTTCATATTCTTAAAAAAAAAAAAACAGACAACTTATCAGTCTTCAATATCAGAAGTACAATGTTTGCATTCAAAAAACAATAGATTACCACTTACACATTTAGAATGAGCCCATAACTTACAAGTTATGCACTGAATCCATTGTTCGCCAGGAACACTATCGGCGTAGGATTCAGTGCATTCTAAACATATCGTGCTCTCGTCATCTGAATCCACATTACCGTCATTTTCGTCCACGGTGTCATCAGCAACTTCATTTACTTTATCCGTTCCTTTTCCTTTACCCTTTCCTTTTCCTTTGCCCTTTCCTTTTCCTTTTTTTATTCTGTTTTTTGTTTCTGCTTTTTTCTTCTTAAAATCTTCTCTTTTGTTTTTCATATCCATAAGATTTAATTTTTCAGGAGTGTCTGTATAAATAGTACTTTTACGTTTCCGAATATTTCTTCTATTTTCTAAAAGTGGCGCCGCTTTTGGAAAGGGTCTTATCTCTTCAAGTGTTGCTGATGAACTTGAGGCCAGGTTTAGATTGTGTAACGATGAGGGCACATTTGCTTCTGTAGGATTTACGTTTTCTGGTGTTTTGAGGTTTTCCCTCAGCTCCGAGTCATATACAGAATTTAATGTCTCGTGTAAAATAGAAGGTGACTCACAATCAGTGATTAAAGATCTTGTAGGAGAGGGCATTGTGGTAGTGATCTGATCTATATTTACAGATAAACATTGCGGTGCCGGAGAGTGAGTTTCGGTTAGTGTATGTTGATCAGGAATTGGAATCTCTTCGACAATAGGCAACCTGTTAGATGCATCGGAAGTCGATGGGTTAACAACAGTGCTTACATCACTTGATAAAGGATTACCACCATCATGGGCAGTGGGCATCGGCCTATCTGTCACATAAGAACCACTAAACTCGGAATCAGGAAAAATGTTTTCATTCAATGGTGAAATCCCGGAAACTCTGAATCCTGATTGAATATTTTCAATTGTAGCAGCCAATGGTAGTGACGTTTTAAGTAGCTCCGGTATATCATAAATTGTAATAGTTTTTCCGGGGTTACTAGCCAGCCAGTTGTCACATGCTCGGTTGAAATACTTTTTCAATGGTCCGTACACAGATCTGTCTAGAGGTTGTAGCTTGTGGCTACAATGTGGAGGAAATGATAAAACTGTCACTCCATTAGTTTTAAAGTAATCCAACGCTTCAATTGATAAATGCGAGTCATGGTTATCTAACAACAAAAGTACAGGTTTTTCTTTACTAGATTTAACATGTTGCACGAAATGTTTGGCGTACTTTATAAAGTTCTCTTCCTTCATCCAGCCAGACGGATTAGCATCACCTTCACATCCTATCGGACCACCTCTTACAAAATGGGGCTTGTAATGTACGCGGGGAAACACAAAAAATGGTGGAACCATATTTCCAAGAGCTGAAACAGCTACTGCAACTGTCACCAGTGTACCCCTCTCAGCAGATGTCATTTTACCTAGACTCTTAATACCACGTCGAGCTATTATTCTATTAGGTACTTGCACGGTTGTAATACCTGTCTCATCGACGTTCCAGATATCACCAGGACTTAGATTTAAACGTTGGTATACAGTAGTTAAATTAGCGAAGAACATACTGACGTTGTGTTTGTTGAATGATGTCGCTCTTGAAAGGCTTGTTGCTTGAGGTGTCCTGATCGATAAAGAAGGATGACGTTTGAGGAACGAGCCTAACCAATCTTCACCAGCTAACAATTTTGTTCTCCAAGAATCAGGCATAGCTTTGTTACTTTTTATGGCGAACTGATATGCTAATTTTCGAGTCTCATATGGTGTCAATCCATAATAAATATCAGCGGCTTTCTTCAAATAACTTGCTAAAGCTTCTTCTTCTATTTTAGTGAAAACTTGCCTATTTTTGATATATCCCACTGAGTCCAAGGTTAGCTCTGCTCTCGTCAAGTTCGGATTATGTTCAAATTTCTCCTTTAGTTTCGCCACATAACGATGTAATGTCTTATAGGGAATGTCATATTGTTTTGAAATTGCATTAATACTTTTGTTCTCAAAAATTATTAGATGACAAGCTCTTTCCACAACATCTTTTGGTGTATCAGCTCGTTCAGTCTTTCTTTTGTAGGTTCTCATTGTACTGTAACAAAAAAATTATTAATAATTGAATAAAAGGTTCATTTACAAGCTATTTTAAACTCCAAATTTTATTGGGGTTGGTTGACTAACTATTCAACCAGCCCCGGAATAAATTAGTCTACCAACCCCAGACGTCATTTTTAATTTCAATGGCATGGCTAACCTAAAACTGTCATCAACTTAAGAAATAATAATATGAAATATGATTTAATATACCCTCATGAAACATTCTGACTAATAGGCAAACCGTTAACATAAAATTTGTAGGTATCGTATGAAAAAATATGTAATGTGAAAATATTACTTACCTGATACGAAAACAAACCACGGGTAACTGCTCGAAAACAGCGTGCGTCCGCGACGCGGTGCTCCGGACAACTGAGCGGGGAAAGGAGAGTGATGCGCGGCTGCGCTGGGATGACGTAATACTCGTGTCCTTGACGAGTTTTTGGCGGTTAGTCTACCTGCCCCTATAGTCAACCATCCCCGGTCTCCCCTATACTAAATTGACATTTTGTCTTGTTCTCAACTCAAGCCTTGTTACTAGCTAGGCCCTGTTTCTCAATAATAACAAATCTTGAATGGTTACATTAGTAAATCGTATTTTTTTAAAGTTATTGTTATAGTTTTTATGTTTCTCTGGTGCAAAAGGTATTAAACAAATTGAATTCATTAGTGTAAACATGATCAACGACATCAATTAGAAGTTTGTATCTTTCGAGAAACTGTGGGCCACATGGCTACATTATTTTCTATTCTTATTTTACATTACTAGCTTTACATTGGAGCGTGGACCTTCCTCTAGAATCACTATTTAAAACCGCAATGAAATCCGTTGCGTTTATTACATTACATTATATTACACTTACTGAACTATAGTATTAGTTAATATGCTTAATATACTTCTACTTATCTAATTTTTACTATTCAAATTCTATTACATCCATACTTTTCTGATGGAATAGGTATACGGCATTTGGTATTTTTTTCCCCGTTCAATTAATATGTAAAACCGTTGATAAATCACGATAAGGTGACCGCATAGTCATTAAATTGCAGACTCTGTCTATAAACTGATTACTTTGTATGGTTATGTCACAGTTGGACTATTACTGAGTAAGTAATATTTTGTATCCTTATAAAATAGTATACTTATAAAAGTTTTCAAGTACAAGCAGGTTTTATATGAACTACAGGTAATTTTTTTAGGTTTGAAGTTATTTTTTACATTCAATACATAAGAAGAACAACGTACTCTGTTTAGCTTTTGTAAATACTTATGTATCCGGTATATTTAATGAGGCGATGTTACAATCCAAATAAAATTAAATATATATATATTTAAAATAAAATACATTCCCGCCGGATATGAGAATTAGTTCCGCTCTTGGGATATTGTCTAAATGAAAAAAATCGTTTATTTCAATAATCTTCTTACAAGCACTTTTGAAATGTCCGATTTTTTTGTCTACCACTCGGTCAGAACGTTTTTTGGTAGACAAGAGGAACGAGAGAAAGAAACTCACCAGCTCTTTAGAGTATTGAGGGGGTTACTTTTAAAATCGATATTAACTATATGGTCTTCTTCATGTTCATAGTTCTTTATTACTCACTCTTACAGTATAAAAAGCAAGAGTAGTGTGATGATGGAGCAGACGACATTATAAGACGCCTGACCATTGGATGTTGATATTTTATATACTTACATTATATTTACTGTTCTCGTGTCTCTGCGCTAGTTGTTGCTTCTTGGCCGAACCGTTTATTTTTATTGCACATTTTTGGCACTTCGTTACTTACGATAATGTTGCTTAATAAGGTTTTTTAGCGTTACATACGGTAATGTTGCTTAATAAGGTTTTTTATGTTTGTCCAGATTCTTAAAATTTTTTCTCGAGTTTATTACGTTTATCCTAGATTTAAGTATTACATTGGTCATTAATTGTTTTATTGACAAATGTGATGAGCTCGCAGAGGTCGCTCGCGCTTCGTGTGCTGATCCAATTTCTATCAGTGTAACTGAGCCTATAAGGGTCCCGGTTTTTCTTTTTAGCGTAAATGGTTTTCCCTTTAACGAAATGTTTCATGGAAACGCAATGTTTTCTATTTTCATTTAAAGAATGTCATAAAATTTTCCCGTCATCTGAGCCTATTGCTTAAAAAGTTTTTAACCAATGGTTATTAAGTTTTGCTTTTAATCCGTTGTGAATATTTGTAAACAAAAAACTGGCTCATTTATTTCCCTAAATTAAACTTATGAGCACTTAATGATGTAATGGGTATATCCTTGAGAATATGCGAATATTAGCAGTGCGCACTCATGTCTTGGTCAGCTTTTTTGTGTAACATGTTGTTTTGTTTGAAATTTTAGTTATAATTTCCTCTTAAGAAGTTTTGATGGATAAATAATTACCTGCTCTTTTTATATTTATGGCCATATGGGTCCAAAAGAATATGGGGTAAAAGAATATTAAAACTTTTTTCCGAGATCCATAAAATTATAGTTTTATGGAGACTATGTGCTTATCTGACGTAAGATATCATTAGTTGCAGAATGTCAGAACTGGCAAAATATATGATATGACATTAACCTTGAATTGGACCTTTAGTCAAATTTGTATAGACTCTAAATGTGGAAATTCATTTTGTCATAGTTTGAATAAAAGTTCCAACATATAGCGGAGCTTTGAATCAGACTTGAAGGCTAACCCATTGATTTATTATCTACCTCCCGGAGCAATGTCGTGAAATATAGATAGAGTTAAAGAAGCTAAACTTGGATCCAGTGTACCCCGGCCTGGAGGTAGATCTAAAACTGTTTATATTATTCTTGATACAATATTTTATTTGCGGAATACATAACTCCATGGCGTAGTGCTTAGTACCTTCAGTATGTGATGATAGGGATAAATTAATTCCATTTTTATAAATACTGGGAATCGGACGGGTAGTCAAAAATTAATTATAATCTACTTTTGTGTCATTTTGTCTTTATTTTTGACAAAGAAGACTTTCGCTTATACTATCAGATGTATCATAGTTCGAAAGTGATACATTTACAGTGCACGTATCACAGTTTTCGTGAGTAAAACGAAAGTCTTTTTCATATCAGCGTGTGAATAGAATTTTGTCCCTTATCTCACCTCTTTCTGTCGGACCTCAAAGCAAACAACAGAACACAGACATCCGTCAATTAAACTAAACATTACCATTCGCCTCCCACCACAAAACTAATCAGTAAAGGTGGGACCACCACACTAGACGGCCGCGTGCTGCCGCGACGAATCGCCTATCGAGAAATTTCACTCGCACGAGAGTACATAGTTTTCGAAAATTACAGCCAGTGTTTGTGGTGTGCCAAAGTGTTTAGTTGAACGCGTGATCCGAAACGGATTTTTTTAAAGAAAAGGTGCTCTATGGTTGTTGTCGTCTCGACGGATTCGATGCGTTGGTGTCGATTTTCTAGTAGAAACTGCGGAAATTGCTTACTCGGGAAAGGTGCACTGTTTTACCGGCAGCAGCATCCGTTCGAAAGTGCACAGCAATGTGTGACAAGAAAATATAAGCGAATCGATATGGAATTGAAATTAAGTAAATCGTTAGCTATTACATATCACTGATAGATATGTAATAGCCAACGATTTCAATTTAGTCTTGTTTAGTAGCGACTTTAATATTTCTGAAAATTGATATTTATTTTCATACGACCTAAGGTACCTGTAAACTGGATTTTCTATTATTGATGTCAAGCTTCTACAGTAAAATCGCATCTTTACAGAGTTTCAAATATTCAAAAATCACATTGATTTGAACACTTATTCTCCTATAAAATCTATTAAGATACCTATATCTAGTTTAGTGGACATTGTACGGCAGATTGAACATTATTCCTTTGACAAACCATTTACGAATTTAAAAAATCACTGAATATAAAATTCACAGACCGTTGCTCTGTTATTAACTTAACGTTACGTAAATCCATGTTATGATAAATATGCAGCGAATGTTTTCATTTAGATAACACACTTTATATTATCTCTCGTGTGTTGGCATGTTAATTATAACATTAATTCTATTATTATAACAATATCTGCCCACTGTTACACGATAATATAAGTTTTTTATGTGTATAAGATTGTTTTATATTAATCGGAGAAAACTATTTGATTCTTAAAAAACTTATACAGATCTCTTTTTGATTGGCATAATTTAAAAGCTCAATCTGATGTTTCGTTATGTAACCGGTTAACGAACATTTCTCACCATCGCTTTCAATTCTTCAATCAAAGCAACGTACATTTTATGGTTCTGGTTTATAAAGACAACTCGTGGCAATGATTTGTAACATCAATTTGTTTAGTGCTAGCGACTTGCGTGGTCTGTCTGGCTTGAAGCCCTTTTTACTGTGTACCTAACTTAAGACATCGATGGCGCAATGGTTACTGCATTCGGTCTGCGTTGAGGAACAGGTGGTTAAGCAACTCTCGCAATTGCCGTTCATAGGATGGGTGGTCAAACATTTATAATCTCGAGCTCCTCAATAATTCGGAAAACAAGTTAAGATCTGGTTGAATTTTTAACACCCACCATTTCGCACTGGACCTGCATGATGGTTTAAAAGCCCGTCCTGTCTATTTGATTCTATCCATTGGGAAGTGTACCACATCAGTGGGGGCATGAATAGACCGATGATAGATGATGAACCTAGACCTTCTTATATATTTAGCGAAATTAACTCCAGGCACACAATCTTGCGTGTTTGCTCATCATTATATTAATACGTAAAGCAAAAACTTAAAAGAAAGATCGCTTAAAATTCAGTCATTAAAGTAAGACATCACACACTTTACCATGAAAAACATCAGCCAAACTATATGTGTTACACACTTTTCCTTGCTGTAAATCGAACAAACATAAATAAGAATAATGTTTAATAAAAATGATAACGAAACCTTTGTAATGTCGAACTTTATTCGTATTTAGACTATTGAGCGCCCACCAGTACATATTTAATTAATAGTCAAGGGCAGTAAACTCGAATTCAGTAACAGTATATGAAGTTTAGTTAAGTACTAGACGCATTGGTCCGACTCGCACAGATGATAAACTATCCTCATGCCTATAAAACCGTCGCGTTGCGTGTTTAACGAGGAACTAAAAGCTTAATAGACACGGAATGGCAGAGGCGGAGAACGGCTTCAACCTCTATGTGGTGAGAGGTATTTGAAAAATATGGCACCATGTAGTGCACAAATTTCCTACTAATGTGGCGCATGGAGAATCTATGACCGAATGTACTATTAAGATTTACATTCTCGTTTTAATAATCGTAAAAGGTAAAAAATACAACTCATTAGATGTCCGTCTCACTGAAACTTTGAGGAGGCACATGGATATTGGAGGATTGCTATATGTTTGAATGATTGGGATTGGCCAATATTTACCGCGATTCGAAATTTAACCTTTTGCGCAGGTACATAAGTGAGCCATGTCTCTTGTTTCTTACTACATGAGTTATAATCGATACAAGCAAATAATACGAATGTATTTACTTATAATATTCGATGCTAATATTTCAATAATATTAACGCATAATGTTATCTGACCTCGTTCCAAATCACATAAAAATAATAAACTATATGTTTCACTTAACAAAACACCTACTACCTTAATTTAAATAATATAGTATGTTGTCAGACCTTCAGAGTATGTTATCGAAAACATGTTTAAACGCATATGAAGATAAAAATTAGTCTACGAACAAATATAGACATTAACTATGATTTGTTTACTCTATAAAAACCTTTTATGAATGACCCGCATCGCCTTGGGAGTTACGTATTGTATGTAACCGAAACTGGCTGAACCCATAACCGTATCCACTACGTATCAATTATACCATTTGGCCTTCGGTGGCCTAAAGCTCAACCTACTGTCGCGAATCTGGTCACAAATAGCCGTGAACTCAATAGCGTTAGTTGATTCGCATAACAATATGGCGTTGCATTCTTTGCTGCCAAAAGATCGTGCCGAGGAATTTTATACGTCCTCAAGTCTGTGGATGGTTGTTACGGTATTTTTATTATCGTGGCTTTATTGCACTACAATATATCGATATTTTTTTATAGTGTCTTTAATAAGATAGAAATTTTAGCGAGTCCACAATAGGATAATTTAGAGATATAATTAAAAAACGTCTCTTTACTTTTGGACTCCTGGAATTTATCTGTTCATTCAGATATAATTGTTTTATATGGTTAGAAGTTACTTATATTTCGGACATAAAACACATCAATTAAGAAATAACCAAAAAGCAATTTGTACTGTACTATACTTGAAAAAAATAGAATAATAATAAATTCGGAATTACGGAAATTGTACCTCATTAGTATTTGTTATACGCGATATGGTTGTAACCATAATAGTAGAACATACTTATAAAAAACTGTAAATGTCTATTGAAAGTAGTGGACAGTGAAAAGCAATTTCTATAACTATTTCTGTCTCAATATCACGGTTGGAATCTGAAATTGGATTAACAAACCGCCCGGCATAGACGGGCAGGAATCTAGTCTTGCCATAATCTGTATGCTAAATTGCCAATCAAGCTGTAAAGCTTAGGGCAGATAGTACTCATTGTTGCGATTTGTTTGAAATTATGAAAATGTTATCGTTATATG